CGTCCTCTAGCATTCAATTAGTGTATTCTTTTAGGTGACTTCTATAAAGGAAATTATTATTATCTTGTTAAATTCAAGTAATATAATGACCCGATGTAAGTTTGAGTCATAATAAAGATGTCATTTTTGTCTAAATAAAAGCTCAGCTGTCAAACTAAGTAGAGTAGCTGATAGAACAAAATGTCGAAAAATAAAAATAAAAGCTTAGTTTCGTAAAACTCGCCAAATAATTTAATCTAAATCAACTTTTCAGTAGAATATATCTACATTGTTTGACCCAGTTCAATGCAAAAATGGAGCCATTAGAGAAAGCCGATGCATTCTTTATCACATAGTTGCAGAAAATGATATTAATTAAGCCTAAATGCGCAAAGGGAGGCAGTGAGAAGAGGAAGGTAGTAGTGGTGATGGAAGCTACAAATTTCTGCCCGAGGGTGGAAGTGATTACTCAAACAACCCCTGCTAATGACAATTTCCTTCTTGAAGAAAGCTACTTCAAAGAGCCAATTAGCTGAAGCGTCGGAAACGCATTGGAAGCAAAAGAAAGATAGAGATGACAAAGAACGTGACAATGATGATGAAAAGAGAAAGGAAGATACCCTGGAGTGAAGGGTGGTTGATGTAAGTCTTTAAAGCAACCTGCTTAAGAGAGGAGGGAGGGATTATGGGGAAGAGAAGGAAGAAGACTTGAAACGAGGTGAGCATTAGCCCGTTAAACCGGAAGCCTGCTATTTGAGGCTCCAGCATAGACCCGCTTGACCTCTGCCATCTGCCTGCCTTGGAGAATGTCCCGAGACCTATCGGTTCCTGATCGGCTCCAACTGAGCAAGAATCCTAACTAAATCATACGGGCAGTTTCGTCAAGTAATGCCAAGATTGGCACAGCCCAAACAGGCCTAAAAGGACCTGTGGAGGGTATCCGTGAGCATGAGCCTAGAGTTATTGTGAATAATTGCCTGCTTTTGTACGCAATTGCACGCCCTTTTCTGGTATTTTTTCAGCCAAGAGCACCAAATTGCCATTACCTTTATCCGTTAATGTTGTCAATACTTCTTATATTCACACAGCGAATACTTTTAGGGTGGTTTTTATTCTTTAATTTTTTCACAAAAAAAGTCGCCTAATCGGTACAATAAACACTG